CTCATTTTAGTGAATAAGCCTGGTATCTTATATTAAGTTTAGAAGTAAAAGATCAGAATTAGATCATTTTTCGGGTTTCGTGAAATTTCGTATCTGGACAGGACGGGGGACGCACTATTCACGCCATGTATAAGACTTAAGACTGTATAAGGCTCCAATGTTGTAACATGATGTAAAGCCATGACTTTACCCTGCAACATGCATTTTTTATACTGATTCCTCTTTTAACTGTTTCAGTGCTGTTAAAGTAACACAGCATCCCATTTTTTTTAATGTTCTTATGATTTATTAAACTAGTGCAGGAATGACGTAGTTCATTCCAATAAGGAATGCCTACAGTGCCAATATTGATCTGTACTGTAATGATGCCCTACCAGTACATCAGGGGTTAATATCAGCAGTCGAATGGTTAACGTGTATTTTGACTGGTTGCAGCTGCCCGCTCTTATCTGTGGGCCACCTGTTGGTGTGACACCCAACCTACAGTGCTAACAAACCTTTATGAGATTATAGGCCATCACATCTAAAATGATTGAGTAAACAGAAATGCATTAAAACACTGATACTTTAGATGAGCCCTAAGATTGCCAAGGAAGGAGCAGCTGCTGTCAATTGGCCCCCTCCTCGCTGCCCCGGTCAGCTGTCCTGTGTCACACATCAATCTCCCATCTTCCCTGCAAATCCCTCTCGATCACATTTCACCTTTCCGTCAGGCTCCCCTCTCGCCCCATATAATTAGTAATTAGAGAGAAAGTGCTAGATATCCCTGCCCCCCGGATATTCCGGCTCTGTCCATCAAATAAGCAAATCCCAGTTCTGCATGTGAGGTGCTATAGGGAGATCTCATGGTAAGGGGGGGCAGCAGTATCATGGTTCCCCCGCTCTGGCGTCAGTCACATGGCAGTTTAGTCTACATCGCGCCTGTGACACTAAAAATGCAACTTATGGAGCCATTTATTTTACAAGTCGCTGAGTGAGACTTTTCAAAGTTTTCTAGAAATGCCTTTTATTTTTGTTCTCTAATCTGTCTATCTATTAAAATTGTTAAAAAGTGTCAGCTTTTGTGCACCTAAATTTCACCATTATTTACAGAAATATGCATTCCGGAAGGATCGCCAATTTTAGAGTGATGTTAAACGGAACACTTTTCAGGTGGTAAAATGGATTAATTAAAGGGAATCTATAGGGATAGGAATACGAAGTAGCATTCCTAACACTATAGGAATGGTCCTCCACCCCTCTCGCGGCCCCCAGCACAGAAAGGGTTAAAAACTCTTTTTCTTGCTCTCCTGATTTCAGCACTAATGTCCCTCAGCACTGGGTTGGCACTCCACCTCCTCCAACGTCATCTGATCAGGGGACCTAATGCGCATGCTTACATTTGGCCTTCCCCATATATGGAAGGATATAATAATACACTGTATCATATGGAGGGATATAATAATATCTTGTATTGTATAGTTGGAGATAATAACACAATGTATCATATAGAGGGATAT